TATCGTTATTATTATTATTATTGTTATTATTATTATTATTATTATTATTATTATTATTAATATTGTTATTATTATTATCATTACTATTATTAATATTACTATTAATAATACTAGCATTATTATTATCTTTATTATTATTATTATTAAAAATATTACTATTATTATTCTTGTTATTATTATTATTATTACTATTAATATTTCAGTTATTATATTATTATTATTATTATTATTATTATTATTATTATTATTATTATTATTATTGTTATTGTTATTGTTATTATTAGTACTATTATTATCCACACAAAGGCACTGCGATAAACAAACATAAAACCGCCCACTGTAAAGTTCCGCCCAGTGACGTGTGGCAGGTGGTGACGTCATGTTTCTGTCTTGTTTCTCCACAGCCCCGCCAGCTGGCAGACAGCCGTACCTGGCTATACACGGTGAGACTCTGTCTTGTTTTTTGTTTTTGTTTTTTGTTTTAGCAGAGGTTTTTTAGAGATTGAAAAATAAAAGGTCAAGTGGTTCGGACACCTCACGCGGATGCCCTCAAACCATCCAGCTCTGAGAGCATACAACTTTAAATATTCTGGATGGAGAGCCAGAGGAAGACCAAGCCGACGATGGAATGAATCTGTGGCAGACACCCTCAGAGTTAACAGGATGTCCCTCCTATAAGCCACTCGCCTTGCTGCAGACAGACACCTGTGTCTCCCCACGACACCCACTGGTACAAGCGGAAGAAAAAAAGTAAACAGTTTACGGCACTCTCAACTGTATACGGCTAAATATGAGCGCCAAGCTTTGGATGTGAACAGAGAAGTCCTTACAGGGAATCAGACTTATTCTGCTCTCCTCTCTGGCTTCAACAGTCCTAAGTCTGCTTCGACTATCAAGGCACCCCGGAAACGGCATTTCACAAGAGAGTGACGAATATACAAAAGAAGTAGAGGAAAAAAATGGCGATAGTAGGCCTAAGGATGAGGAAAGAAAAAGCAGCAGTTTCCCCTATGTTGTTCCTGCACAGTATGAGCATGACATTGATAAATCGGCCCAATTATAATTCTACTGTGCATAAGAACATTTTAATATCTCCCTTTTGGAAATGTCCTGAGGAAAACTTCAGTCAGTAGCACGCCTCTGGCGGGGACTCTTTCTGCAGCCTTTCTACTGCTACTCCTAGGCTCCTCCTTATTGCTGTCTTTCTGCCACACCCCTGATCTTCTGGTAGGAAAGATCTACACCTAGCCTTCTCGGACAAGGGCGAAAAATCTCGGAAGGCCCGTGTGCAAGTTGCGCACGTTAAAGATCCCTTGGTGGTCTAAAATCGTTAAGAGTAGGGTTCGGCCGCCACCCGGGCAAAATTCAAAATTTCCTACCCACTGAAAATATTAGGTGTGTCCCGCGACGCTCATATGACATTACACAGTTGCGAGCGCCTTAAAACACTTTACCAAAAAAATCACCAAAGAAACCCAAACAAAAAACAAGAGAGTGACGAATATACAAAAGAAGTAGAGGAGATAAGGATGATAGATGTTCGATAGGAAAGAAGGAGCAAAGAACACCAGAATACCAGCCAATCACCCTCGTGTTATGCTGTTTAGAGTATGTATCTATATAACTCCAAAGGTAATTAAATTCCTGCATGTGGTTGAATGATGCGCCTGGTGTGATATGTATACACATGTATGCGTGTTATGGTGTTCGTGTGTGTGTTTGTGTGTGTGTGTGTGTGTGTGTGTGTGTGTGTATGTGTGTGTGTGTGTGTGTGTGTGTATGAGTGTGTGTATTATGCGTGTGTGTAGCGTGTGTGAATGTTGTTTGTACATGCATTTATGTAAAGCGCATAGAGCTGCGTTGAGCGGGGAGTATTCGCTATACAAATGATCTTCATTATTATTATTATTATTATTATTATGTGTGTGTGTCAGATTGTATTGAATTCAAATGAAAAGAAAATATTATTTAAAATTTTATGTATACCTGCATTTATTTTTTATGGTCCTGTACAGCCAAGAAAATTTCCCTCTGGGATAATAAAGTACTATCGTTGGTGGTTGGCGGGTGCTCTGGTGTGGTTTGCTTCTTCTTTTCTATCAAACAACTATCGTCATTATTTCCAACTCTTCTTTTTTATGTTTTTTACACTGTTGTTACACCTCTAATCTTTTGGCGCTCGTATAGCCTTATACAGTTGCGAGCGCCGTAAAACATCTACTAAAACAAATATTAAAGTATTATCTTATCTT